TGCAACAACGTGAAGTGCTTCATGTTGGAACAAGAAAAAGGCATGGTGAGTGGCCCCTAATTCCACTACTTGTGTGGACCCAGATAATGTTATAACCTCAGAGGTCCTAATCATTACCTGCTGGCCAAATCACAGCAGCTTCACCAGTTTTACCTGAACCGTCCACAAAAACTGTGCGAGCTCCTGGGATGGGAGAATCAGATAATAAGGATTTTGGCTGTAATGACAAAGAGGTTAAAGAATGAAGCAGTTTTTGCCAAGGTAACGGGTGAGAAATGTCATTTAAATAATCTGCCAAGGCACTCTGTAATGATAGGCTTTCTCTGAATGCAGTTGCATATTCAAGAGGTTGCAAAGCAGATGGATAACATCAGGATCTTGTCCCAGCAAATGCTGACAATGCAATCTGCCCTGAGAAATTAGACAGAAAATAATTTCTAATGCACTTACCAGGGTTTTCGCAATGAATGTGGTAAAAATAACCATTCAACTACGATGAGTGTTTTCGTCAGAGGAATTCACATCCCATTGACCTATTAGTCCATAAGGCTGAAAATCATTAAACGCAATAAAAAGGCTTACTGACAAGGCAGGCTTTATACGATGTGCAAAGGCAGTGCTTATCTTAAATGTCACTTTAATGAGAGTCACATTTGCCTGAGGAGTGAGCTTTTGTGTCGACGCTAAGTCAGGATCCCCTTTTAAAAGGTTAAACAAAGGAAGTTCCAAGCTGCCTTTGCAGACCGTTTGAAGTAGCAATATTTTTAACAATGCGTACTTGTTGCGGGAACACACAGGAATTGTACAGTTTCCAACCAAGATATTGCCAAGGAGGAAGCCGTTGAACCTTCTCTGGAGCAATTTGTAAACCATAATGTTGTGATTCCAGAGAAAGACAACAAGCTGCTTGTTTCAATGGAACTTTGGTCTCAGATGACAGCAAAATGTCATCCATGTAGTGATAAAACTTGATCTGATTATGAGAATTTTGCACATTAGGAATGCTTCAGCAGCTACAAGTTGACATGTTGCAGGACTATTTTTCATGCCTTGTGGCAGAACAATCCAGTGATACCGTGACATTGGTTGATCCTTATCGATACTTGGTACTTGGGACCATCTGGATACATGCCACTTGGGACCATCATCTGGATGTAAACCAATGGTGAAGAAACAGTCTTTCAAGTCAATAATTTGGAAAAAACAGCTGTCTGGTATACATGTAGGATTAGGGATGCCAGGTTGCAGGGCACCCATAGGTTCCATAACAGCATTAACAGCTCATAAATCTTGCAAAAGCTGCCACCTTCCTAATTTTTTAGGTATAACAAAAATAAGAGTATTCCATGGACTGGTAGATGGAACAATATGTCCCAGAGAAAGCTGTTCCCGAACCAGTTCTTGAGCTTTGTGAAGCTTCTCTTCTTCAAGGGCCATTGATCTACCCAGACCAGTTTTTCTGTCAACCAGGTCAATTTTAGGAGCGGCTGAGCATCAATGGCCCTTATTGAAAATTTGTCATAATTGCCATGTTAAACCGTTTCAATAAATCTCATCCCCAAAGGGTATAAGGCATGTCCAGAACATATGGCTGCAAGATTGCTACCTTTTTCTCCGGCCCTTTGACATATAACAGTACAGCACTTTGCCCAGGGACTTGAGTTCCTCCAATTCCTGAGGCTACGGCTGTTGCATGTGTCAAAGAGCACTCGGGGCCATATAGATGGTTGAATAATTAAAACATCTGCACCTGTGTCAATTAAGCCAGTAAAGGGAGATCCCTGTATCTTGCATGTTAGCAGAGCTTGACTAGTAGTCACCTTCTGCGTTCAGAAGATATATGGAAGTCCGGAGCTGCCAAACCCAGCTGATCCCCTGTAGGACAATTGCTGCTGCCCTGAATTAGATGTACTGAGGGGAAGCAGAATTAATTGTGCAATAGGCACTGTACAAGGAGGCATAGGTGTCCATGCTGTAATTTTGATTTCCCCCATATAGTCTGAATCAATTACCCCTGAGAGGATAAACAACCCTGCTCTGGAACTGGAGTTTCTATGGATTAACAAAGCAAACAGACACTTAGCCAATGGCCCGAACATTCCTGTGGGTGTTAAATATACACTCTGGTCTATGATTATGGTGCACTGGCTTGTGGCCAATTCTGACCCAGCCCTCCCTGCTGTTGCAGGCTGGAGTTGACTGACGATGGTCCCTGGTTGCACCCCATTGTGGGTGTGTTGTTTTGCAAGCTGGCCACCTGGACTGAGAGTTGTGAGCTTTGCCAATTGGCCCTGTTGGCAGCTTTTGGGGCACCAGATCTCGAGCCTCTCCAGCCGTTTCCTGGACTTGACAAAACATTACCAGATTTGTCCATTTTTGACCGACATTGATTGCCCCAGTGATAGCCCTTTTGACGTTGAGGACAAAGTTGGGTAGGAGCCCTAACCTGGGCTTCCCCTCGTGATCCCTTGCCCCTTCCATTCTGATGGGGGCAATCCTTCTTAATGTGACCCTCTTGCCCACAAAGAAAGCATTTCACTGTACCTTAGCAACAGTCAGCTGCTGAGATAAGGCTGCTGCGAGAAGCTCAGCTTTGTACTGATCCGACCCAACATTCTGACAAGCTGTTATGAGATCGGTTACTGTTTTAACTTGATTCCGCAATGGGTCCATCACCCATCTACAATCGGTATTAGCATTCTCAATAGCAAGTTGAAAAAAATAACAAGTCAGCTGCCTGTGGGGAATCAATCTCTCGCTGTATAGCTGTTTGCAACCAACCAGGGAACTGTACATAGAGCTCTTGCACCCCCTGCTGGATCGTTGCAAAAGAAGTCTCCCTTTTACCCACATCTGGTACTCTGTGGAGTGCTCTGATGGCAAGGCTAGTCGCTTGAGTAAAAACATCACAGTTTAAAGCTGCTTGAGCTGCCCCTGTTGCATACTGACCCTCCCCCAATAACTCCATCTCTCCAATCGCCAGACCATACGTTAAATTCTCCATTGCTTGAGCTATGGCTAGGTCTCTATATTCTGTTGACCACTCTGAATATTGTGCAGCCGACAATACAAGCCGCAGGAGAGGTCTCCAGTCTACTGGAGTCATGGTAAGCAATTCCCCTATGGCTTGCAGCAAATTCATAGAAAAAGATGCTTGTAAACCATAATCTCTTATAGACTCCCGCACCTCTTTTACCACATCATAAGGCAATTGTCCCAACTCAGGAGGTTGATTAGGCTTATAGAAGACCGGCATGGCTTGCACTAATTGTAAATCATCACATCGCAAAGCCTCTTCTCTACATTTGCCCAATAGACCAAGACTTTACTGCTTTGGCTGATAAAGTGAAGGGGCAGTTGGTGATGGACGCACCACAGAGGACTGGGACAGCAAACGTTTACACTGCTGCTGCAGGATTTCACCGGCAGTGAGGGCCGCAGCAGCCAAAGCTTTAATGGGTGTCAGTGGTGGGTAAAGATCAGGTTCTGCTTCCGGATCAATCACTCCCAGATCGAAGGGATCCTCCAATTCATCAGATTTTCAACTGGGGGGGTGGAGTGGGGTGGGGTGGGGTGGGCGCGATGCGGGCCCACCTCAGAGCCAAGCAATTCAAAAGATTGCTTCCCCTCCATTGCCTCAGCCGCCTCAGGGTTAGGAGCTGCCATGTTTTGCAGCACCTGTTCGGCTGGCTATAAAGCTCGCAAGGCAGAGTAAACCATGCGCCAAGTCAATAAATGTCCCTTTAGGGAGTCAGGTTTCAACGTCTGGGCTGCTTGCAACTCATCTCCCACTTGCTGCCACAGAGTCGATTCATAAGAGGCAGTCGATGGGAACCAGGAACAATGATCTCTGATTCAGACCAGCAATTTAACCAATTCAAACTGGGTTCCCTTAAAGCCTTGTCTTTGTAAAATACGCTGAAGCAGATAGTTACCGAGACGCTGCTCCTTTGTTGCGCTTTGACCTGTATCGAAATCAAGGGGTCAGTCTATCTACCCACGGCTGCTCACCTTAGTTGTCCAGCAACTGGTGATGAATGTTTATCAGGATCCTCTAATTCATGTTATTCCATGCGTCCAGCCAAATGGGGTACACCACCGGACTTCTGCAGCTATCTTCAGCCTGAGATTCTCTTCAACCCACGTTGGGCACCATTTCTGGTGTATGATGTCATGGACTCCATGGAGATACAGAGTCATTTAGTTAACAAAGTCGCTGGGTTATATGCTTTAGGCTTACAAGGGTGTTATGGCAAATAACCAATAAAAACCCACGGCACAAATATTCCTATACAGGTTACTCAGTCACCATTTTTCCTAACCATTTCCTTGTTATTGTTTCTAGCTGATACGTGCTTTAGATGCAACAATCTATGTTATTGCTTAAGCAATCATCGCTCTTACAGACTGTGTTTCTTTTTGCGACTGCGTAGCAGTTAAGCACAAGATATGTTCTGCTTCCAGAACTTCCTATTTGAAACAGTCTGTGAGGAACAAACATTATTTTTCTCCTTGGTCTGCTTACGCCAGCACTTTGTGGTTAGCCTCGCATGTGCAGCTGCACTGTGTTCTTTAAATGGTCTTCAACAGCCCTGGTCTCAGGAAATGACGCTATCGCAGAGCTGGTTTGGATGCTCAGGGAGGCCGAGTTTCGTTAACTTTGATTTCCTGAAGTAGAGCAGTAGCAGTTTATTAAAAGCATCTTGACAACAGCATTGAGGTGGGTTGGTTGCTTTGGGGTTTCTTTGTGTGCGTGTTTTTTTTCTTCTAGTTGACCCTCGGAGTAAGTGGTACAAAGGGCATGACGGCGGTTTCCGGGAAGGAAGAACTAACAAACACCTGAATTAACTGAATGTGTCAGTTTAAGAGCAGATATGGCCTCCATCTAGCTGCTTTTTCTTTTACCTATCTGCATACCTGTGTGCGCATATAGACAGAGATTTCATATGCAAGACCTGGTGGATGGCCAGTGGTTCCACCTGCTGTTTTTCTCATTTTCAGCTCCTTGGCTGTGTTGTCCAGGCTTTGCCCTACTCGGAATTAACTGTGTTTTGGAAAAGTAGGAGCCAGCTAAAACGCCTGTGTATTTGTCCATTATTTTTCCACTTTCCATGGTTGGGGTTTTGGAAGGTTTGCTTTTTTGATTGTTTGTTTGTTGTTTTTAACTCACATAATGGACTTCAGAACTGAGGGCAAGGAGGAGCTCAGGCTTGAACCAGCCTCTGGGCTCTGGTGGAGATGCTGTTTGCTGTGCGCAGAGCAGGGACTGCGCTGGCCTGGGGTATGGTGCAGCACAGGCACGGAAGGGGTGTCCCCTCGGAGCCTCCTGCAGGATTAGCACCCACAGCCCAAATGTGAAGGCGCCTTGTGCTGTGTGTAGTCACACACTTGCTCAGACACCTTGAAAATGAGTTTGCGTTAGCAGAACTTAACAAGGGGAAAGTAAGAATTTGCCAGGCTGCTTCATGACGCACAGAGGGCTCCTTTTCCTCCTTCCCCCCCTCTCTCTGGTATGAGGTTTCTGCTCTGCTGCGGAGCATGAGAGCTGAAACCCAGGAGCCCCCAGCTGATGGAATAAACACCCAGCAAATGCCTACCCCAGTGAGTCTGGTGACAGAGCAGTGGAAGCTAGCAACAGGTTTCACAGAGTCTTAAGTAGCAAGTCAGCTGACAAAGTAGCTTGTTCCCAAGAAAGGTTATGGTGACAGGCCCTAAAAATGAATATCTGCAATAAGAGTGCTTGTAATCTGATAACTCTGTCTTTGCCCTTGTTTAGAAAAGGACAAGTGGTGGTGTACTCTCAATATGGCAATATGAAATTCCTAGTTCACAGATAGATTATATTTATCCTGAAGGAAATTGAGTGAGGTTGTTTTGTTTTGTTTTGTATCCCCGGGAAAAAAAACAAGAGGCAGCTTAAATTCAGTATAATCATTCTTCTTGGCTTTGCTGTTGTAACATGAAAAGCAGTTGACAGTTGTCATGAAAGTCGTGGCAAAGGCAACTGCCACAGTTCAGGCACTCGGTGTGACTTTGGCAGTGACTTTAGGAGTCTCCCCTAGTGATGAAGTGACTTGTGAATGGCAGGTTATCTGTGTGAGAGGTCTGAGTAGAAGAGGGACTGTGCTAAGAGGTAGAATAAGAAGCTGTTATGTGTAAACTCCAACCCTTAGTATTGTGGGCAGGGTAGGGGAAAAAAACCCAACAAAGTAATGGCTGTGAGGCCAGGAGGGGAAAAGGCCATGATGGGGACAATGGGGAAAAGATGCAAACACTCAAAACCATTTTACATTTATTAACTTGCTGTAGAAATCATTCAGTGCACCAAAAGAGAACAATTTCATGAAGAAGGAGTTGTAAAATTTGTGTATAATCTCAGATGCCCAGTTAGCTGCAGCAGAAATCATTAAACTGTGAGCTCAAAAAAGAGCACAAAATATCCCAGAGCAGCAGCAGGTTGGTGTGCATGGCTGAAGCACTGGGACAGTTTTTGCTTTCCTGACGTTTTCCTCTAGCTCTCAACAAGCTCATTGCACTCTTGCAGCATGCAACTGGACTACACAGAGCTTATGATAAGCTGCTGTGACTCGATGGGTAACGCAGGTGAGACTGGTTTACTTGGACAACCCTTTCTAGCCCCACTGTTGTTGAAACACAGAAGCCACCCTCATGAAAAACTGCACGAATTTAAACAAGATGCACGCCAGTAACGCTGGTGGTGTTACAACCAGTCCATACCTTGTTACTGGATGTGATGTTGAAAATGAAAACAATGCTGAAGGAAGGTTGTAGCTGAAGGGTTACACCTACAGGCCATTCAGCTGAAACGGGGTGTTTCAAGTTCTTAAGGGGGCAGGGAAGATGAGTTGTGGGAGCTGGAAGAAGTTCCAACAGTAAAAGCAATGAAGTTGAACAGAGCAACAGAGGTGGTGTGAGGTGTTAAATAAAACCCAAAACCAACACCTAACTAACAAAACCCCCCAACCTGACATTCAGTAAGAAAGTCTAAGCTAACAACACAGATTAACTCGAGGCAAATACCAGTGGAAAAACATTTAATACTTATGTATACATATTGCAGGAAAGCAATTAAAAACATCTTTTTCATATGCAATGTAATGTAAAGTGTAAACTATGGAAATGCACTATATTTACCCTCTCAAAAAACCCTAACTTGGTATTCTTGAACTATTTGGACTAGGAGCTAAATGCTGGTACTTGTAAATAGAAGTGGTAAATCTTACAGTAGTGCAAACCGACGCTAACATACACTGTACTCATAATATAAATAAACTATACTAATTGTAGGGTGAAACCATGCTAAGAGTACCCTCTTACAGAATTGTAAAATACATTACTACTACTAATGTAACTCGAAGACTTTTCAATAAGGGCTGCTTACAATCTATGTCTTGCCTATGGCTTTGAAAAATAAAATCTCTTTAACTATCCTATCCTATGCTACCCTATGCTATGCTATGCTATGCTATCCTATCCTATGATAACCTATCCTATGATAACTTATCCTATCCTATCCTATCCTATCCTATCCTATCTACGGCAATCTTCAAGTGCAGTATTGGTTGAGGAGTCCTTTTCCTTCGAGATGGTCATGGCTGGGGTGGCGATTCCAGACACTTCCCCCAAGTGAATGGATCCACAGAAAGGTAGAATGGAGGATTCAGAGAGCTACACAACAGAGAGAAAGCCAGAAAGAAGGAAAGAAAGAAAGAAAAACAGTCACAAGCCGGGAATTTGAAAGAGCTCCGTAGACACGTGTCTATGTTGATTTAACTACCTATACTGTCAAAAACTTCATACCCTCCCTTGAATTGAAGATTACCTGTCCAGGCTATGAATCAGCATACTGGGACATGTAATGTTGGTTGGGACAACCAAAAACCACGATCTGTCTCTGACATTAGGTGCCCTTGCACTTTTTCATGACTTGTATCAATGCTACAGTGCAGTGCTTCCCTCCCTCCCTGCTCCAAAATTTAGAAAACTTCCAACAACTCAGTTGAATTACCAAATGCAAAAATTAGTCAGCTTTTATAAAGCAGTATCATTACAGTACTAGGGAAAGACTTTTTCTGTTCAGTGGCTGCAATTTTTTGTGACATTAAAATTCTTAGGATGAAATACAGAAAAGAATAAAAAGGGGGGAGGGGAAGTGCTAGAATGATGTCTCATTGCTGTTTATTCCTGGAACAAGCTCCTAACCCATAAGCAGCTTTCCAAAATGCCACTGTAGCAGCTTCACTTACCCCTAGCGATGTTGTTTCTTCTTGGGAAGCGCTCTCAATCTGCACACTTTCCAGGCTGTCACTTGAAAGAGCACCTTCTTCATCCTCCTGAATAGTGTTCTGCCAGGAGAAGAGGAAAGAAAGAAAAATAAGAGAAAGGAACGTTTCCCCTCTTCTGCTAACCACAGTCTATCCCAAAGAAATTATAGAAACATAACAATATTGAGAGTTATAGCCACCTCCCATAGATCTGCCTCAAACTTCCACAGCAGCACCGATTCCGGGGAAGAGATAACAGAATCACTGAATGATCAAGGTTGAAATGACCTGAAGATCATCTAGTTCCAAGCCCCCCTGCCACAGGCAGGGATGCCACATGCTAGACCATATTGCCCAAGGCTCTGTACAGCCTGATCTTGAGCGCTGCCAGGGATGGAGCGTTTACTCTTTGTTGCGCAACCTCTCTCAGTGCCTCACCACCCTCACAGTAAAGAACTTCTTCCTTATATCTAACCTGAACTTCCACTGCTCAAGTTGAGAACCATTGCCCCTTGTCCTATCACTACAGTCGCTGCTGAAATGAGTAGCTTCATATGCAACAAGATTTACTTAAAAATGTTTTTAAAATTTAGTCTGCAGTTAATATTTTTCTCTAGGATGAAACTTAAAAAGAAAATGTTTGCAAGGACTTGCACTGACTTTCAATGGATAAAAGTATAAAATTCAGCTACCCAAATCCTCCTAATATCCACACACACACATCTATGTTGATTTAACTACCTACACTGTCAAAAACTTCATACCTCCCTTGAAGATTACCTGGCCAGGCTACGAATCAGCATACTGGGACATTTAATACTGGTTGGGACAGCCAAAACCCACTATCTGTCTCTGACATTAGGTGCGCTTGCAGTTTTTCATGACTTGTACCAAGGATACAGTTCAGTGCTTCCCTCCCTCCCTGCTCCAAAATGTAGAAAACTTCCAACAACTCAGTTGAATTACCAAATACAAAAACTAGTCAGCTTTTATAAAGCAGTATCACTATCATTACAGTACTAGGGAAAGACTTCTTCTGTTCAGTGGCTGCAATTTTTTTTGACATCAAAATTCTTAGGATGAAAAAAAGAAAATAATAAAGGGGGGGGGGAAGCGTTGGAACGATGTTTCATTGCTGTTTACTCCTGGAGCAGGCTCCGAAGCCCATAAACAGCTTTCCAAAATGGCACTGTGCCAGCTGCACTCTACCCCTAGCGATGGTGTTTCTTTGTCAGGAGCGTCGAGAATCAGCGTTCTTACCAAGATGCTGTGGGAAAGAGCGCCATCTTCCTCCTCACTGGTGTTCTGCCAGGAAAAGAGGAAAGAAAGAAAAGTAAGAGAAAAGAATGTTTTCCCTCCTCTGCTAACCACAATGTGTACCAGGTGCTCTACTGCTTCGTGCAGAGCTGAGGGCAGAAAATGGCCTGCACATAATAAATAGAACAATCAAAGCCATACTTCTAGATTGGGGGAATACTGCAGGTGTTCTTGGCAAGCTGTCCTTTCCATACCAAAATCGTCATGTCACAAACTGAGTGAAAAATGATGGGAAGGGAGATCTGCAGAAGCTTCCGAGGTTGAAGAGCACAATGGCTCCCCATCAGTTCTCCCAGGACATGGTCAAATGGAGCTGGCCTTGGCATATAGCAAAACTCCAGGACAAGCTGGTGACTTCAGCCAGATGGATACTGGGATCCTGAGGCAGACCCTGCACCAGCACAGCCCACATCTTGCTCAGCTGGTAGTTTAGCATGAAATTAGACCTGAACTGCCTACCAGTTGCATGAGGTTACTAATCTTTCACGATAATTCAAACATATCACCAAAAAAGAAAAAAAAAAGAAAAAAAGAAAAAAGAAGAAAAGGTATCTCCAATCTCACAAGGCAGTCTTATTCAGTAATTTGTTTTCATAAAGATGATACAAACCCGCTAGAACAGGTCAAGAAGAAGCAGTGTCCAAAGCACTCAGATACTGCACAGTGCTTGAAACAAGACTGTGTTAGGGGATAGCGGGGTATTAACAAAGCGAAAGTTGCTCTCCTGTTGAGTTTGCTCTGTTTGTAAACAATGGGACTCTGTTCCTTATGATTTTTTCACAGAGGAATAGGCAAGCGTGCATAGAAAGGAGAAGACAGGGAGATGGAGCTTACCGATTTTTTCAGTGAAGGGACTGATTTTCCCATCTTTTACACACACATACACACTTCCATTTAGTATCATCACTTTGTAACCACCAAGTTTTCTGCCACAGCTTCTAGACTGCATCAGAAATTAGGTCCAACATACATGAGAAAAAAAAAGCCTTATGGACATTGTCATGTAAATGGGTCATTTTGTTTGCATCAGCTGAATTAAGGAAAAGAAACCTCTCTTCCTGATTTGCGAATCAAATGGCTGTCACATACAAGTGTCACTCAAAAGATTGCCTTTTCTTAGTTGCAGACCTTCCGTTTCTTTTTTCTTGCACCTAAGAAAGGTGTAATCATTAGATTGGTCATGGCACAAACACATACTGGGTTGCTACAGCAAAATTCTTGTTTTCCCTGATTTTTCTCCGTTCCCCATAAACAGGCTGATCCTCCATAAGAAGCTGTTTACTTTCAGTACATTTACAAGTTTGGTTTTTTGTTTTGGCTAGTTGCTACTCAGTCCTTCTCCTCATTCGCAAATTCCTTGCCATAGTTCATGTTCTTTTCAAGCAAGCTTCAGTTTCCATAACAAGACAATTAACTATTTGATTAAATAGCTCTCAAAACTTTCCATTTATAACCATAACTTTCTTCTTCCGTTCTGCTCTGTTCCATTTTACTTTGGTTACAGATACATTGATTGCAGTTATGCCTTTGCTGGCCCTGCTACAGGATGCTGAAACAGTATAAATCTCTGTTACAGACTATGAGGATTTTCATCTCTTTAGTTTTGATTCTAGGCTCTTTTTCAATATTCCTTTCAAAAACAAATTGTTTTTTTCCTCCCCTAGAAGTCTGTAACACTCGGGTGTCTTTTCAGCCAAGCACTCCTCAGAGGACTCTGGCCTTAATAACTATGTCGCACTGTCTATTGGTTGGGATACTGGGAGTATCCCACTCTACCTGGGGCCTCCTGTTCCTCTGGTCAGAGTTTTCCCAGCTAGCTCTGCATTTCGATCTAAGTAGTTCAAAGCCTAAGGACTGTGTCCCTCCCACCCACTGAGTTATAATCGGATGGCATGGCTTAAGTTTGACTCTTTCAATTCATGCATACATAGTTTCCAGAAAGAGTAAATGAACTTTCAATTTAAATGCTGTTCCTACAGCAAATCCTAGGAATCACATTTTCAGTAGCATTATGTGCGTTCCAGATCACAATTAAAATGTCCAAAACTAACTCCATCGCTTAGATTTAAAACATGAGGGAAGTCTGCAGAGAGCAATCTTCTGAAGTGAGAATCCCAAAACAAAGTCTGGCATTTCTGAATGTTTCCCTCTTCCGCTAACCTCAGTCTATCCCAAAGAAATTATAGAAACATAACATATTGAGATTAATAGCCATCACCTGTAGATCTGTCTCAAACATCCACAGCAGCACCGATTCCCAGGAAGAGATGACAGAATCACTGAATGATCAAGGTTGAAATGACCTGAAGGTCATCTAGTTCCAAGCCCCCCTGCCACAGGCACAGACGCCACATGCTAGACCATGTTGCCCAAGGCAGAGAAAAAGCCATGGCACAGCCTGAAATAACTATTAGATGTTTAGCTTCTCAGGCCACAAGCTAATATCCTTATTTCTGGACTAAGAATCCTCTGATCATGGTCACAAGTGGTCAAATCTTTTTCACACCTCAAGACAAGGAGAGGAGTCAACACAAGGAGATGTTCCAGATTGTGAAATACGAGCTCACTGCTCTCATGGAGATAACAGGATCTTATTGAGAGACAGAGTGAATAAAGCAAAAGCAACACCGTAGCCAGCGGCGCACTGATTAGCATTTGTTACAGGTTTATATACTTTCACTATTGCATATAGCCATATACATATCCATAATGCCCGCGTATGGGCGGTGAATATTATAACTAGCTCCAGGAACTTATTATCATAAGTCTCCTTCCTTTCAGCGCTTGCGCACTGCTCTCTGGTGATCGTGGGCAGGGATCTTGAGGATGAAGTAAGCAGTCTTCCTTGTGCA